AATTACCGTATATTTCGCTCCATAAGACACACTTGGGGGGAAATGTCTGTGCGTCTTATGGAGCGGCCGGCCCAGTATACCTGCCGCCGTTGTATGTCCGCAGTCTCTGGTCATCTCATGTACTATGTCCGCAGTCTCTGGTCATCTCCTGTACTGTGTCCGCATTTGTTCATAGTTTTTTTTTTTAAACTATAGTCCGGCCCTCCAACGGTCTGAGGGACAGTTGAACTGGCCCCCTGTATATACCCCTGGTATAGACTCTTGGAGGACTTTACAGTTGTTCTGTAGCATGGAGAGTCTGTCCTGTACTGCGGGTACCGAAGTTTCAGGAATGGTGTCAGGTATGAACGGAAAGGTGGAATTCATAATTGGCCCAAAATGGTGACCGGTTTGTAGCAGAATGGACTGAATTGTTGTAGGCAAATTCTGCCAATGGGAGTAGGGATGCCCAAAACATCCTGAGAAAAAGCAGAGAAGTACCGTAAATATTGCTCCAAAGTCTGGTTCATTCGCTCCGTTTGCCCGTTACTCTGGGGATGGTAGGGGATGATAAGCAGAGTTCCACCTTCAGGGCCTTGCAGAGGGCTCTCCAGAACCTGAACGTAAACTACTGGGCAGACCATGTAACCTGACATCTCTTTGATGAAGGTTAGTGCAGTCTCTGGTGCGGATGGAGTACCCACCATTGGTAAAAAGTGGGCCATCTTGGATAAGCCGATCCACTACTACCAGAATAGTAGTAAACCCTTGAGGGCGGAAAATCCACAATGAAGTCCATTGCGACCATCTCCCAGGGATGATCAGGAATGGGCAGGGGCCTTGGCTTTGTCTCCTTGTTCCGCAGACACACTGTGCACAACTTCACATAAGCTCGACAGTCATGATTCAAGTTGGGCCACCAGAAGGATCGCTGGATTAGTTCCATTGTCTTACGAGCCCCAAAGCCAAAGAAGACCATCCTGCCTGCTAAGTGAATCTTGTTCGGGTTCAGGACATAGTGCAGAGGCTTGCTTGATCAAAGACTTTAGGCTGGGTTGGGTCAGCAAAACATTTTTTGGGCCGACAAAATGGTGTTGGGGGGGAGAAGGCTCCTCTGGGTCCAGGAACATGCAGGAAAGGGCATCTGCCTTCCCGTTCTTGGATCCTGGGCGGTAGGTTATGTGGAAGTTAAACCTGCAGAAAAATAAAGCCCATCTAGCCTGTCAAGGTCTTGGGTGCTTGGTGGACCTTAGATACTCCAGATTTTTATGATCTGTGAAAATCATAATTGGGTGGCTGGCTCCTTCCAAGAGATACCTCCATTCTTCGAAGGCTATCCTAATCGCTAAAAGTTCCCTATCATTCACATCGTAGTTCCTTTTGGCTTGGCTCAGTTTTCTAGAACAAAACACTATTGAGTGAAGCAGAGTCTTTGGTTTCTGGTGCTGGGAAAGTACGGCTCCTGTAGCAACTTCAGATGCGCTTTTAATTGCTCAAACGCTTTTTGAGCTTCCTGGCTCCAGCAAAAAACGTGTATGCTATCGGGTGAGTTGAGTAATAGGGGCAATGATTGCGGAAAGGCCCTTAATAAATAGCAGTTGGTGAAACCCACAAATCTTTGGACCCCTTTCCTGTCTGAAGGTGCAGGCCAATCCAGGATAGCAGATACTTTTTGAGTGTCCTTGGAGATCCCCTCAGTGGAAATTATGAGCCCCAAAAACTGGATGGACTGCTTCTCAAACTCACACTTCTCCACCTTGGCGTACAAGCCATGCATCCTTAGAGTGTTTAGCACTTTTCTAACGTGATCACAATGGAGAAAGACAATCACAAAAAGGTTAAGGTACTCTCTAAAGATGTCGTTCACAAAGTGTAGAAACGTAGCAGGGGCATTACATAGCCCAAACGACATCATTAGGTACTCAAAATGTCTTTCACTCATCGCCCTCTCTTATACGGACTAAATTGTAGGCCCCCCGTAAGTCCAATTTAGTGAACATTCGGGCTATTCAAAATCACTGAAACAAATCAGGCACCATAGGAAGGATACCAGTTTTTAATGGTAATTTTATTAAGTTAATTACAAAAAACCTCCTGCGCTCACAAGGACTCCTACCCTATAACCATAAGCTGCTGACACTAAACTTATACCCAAAATAAGTGAATAAACAGTGCAAAAATTATGAGTGCAGCGCTAATTAGTATCTAATAGAACCGTAATACAATATATACTCAATCCCCAAAATAAATCCAAGATACTCAATACATATACAGTGTCATGCATGTATTCCCTCATGGGGAATATCTCGTGCAAAAACGTGAAAATAAAGTAATATATACTATAATAACATATATACTAATAATAAACAGTGCCACATAAAAAGTGCACAAAAGGAATAAACGATAGTTCAAATACAAGAAAAGTCCAAAGTTAATAATAATACCGATGATGCTGTGCTTAATGATGAACTTCACACTCCACTCTTCATGCAAAATTATGTGCAGTGTACGTGATTCACACGTGACAATCCTTAACAGCCAAAATGCCCCCTCACCTCCTTCCTTAGACCCCAAGGGGCCAGCACGCTTTCAGGATCACACGATCCTATCAGTATGGATCACTCTCTAGAAAATATCTTCCTCCTCTAGCGTCCACCAGTTTAGCAGCCAGCTCCTCCCAGGGTCATAATAAGACACAAGCAGAGACCCTCCATAGTGCAACCAGTAATTTTATTGGTAATAGGTATAAAAAATAGATTTCCACTCACAAAACGATGAATCTTCCAGCCTCCTACCACATGCTATGGGTGCACTGCATGGGTAATACACAGGGTGTTCCAATATGGCCCCCACGCCGGAAATGACGTCACCACGATTACAGGAAGCTCCTCCCCACGTACCGACTAGTTGCGTCACGCCCACTTCGTGACTTCATCACTGATGAAGTTTTGTGAGTGGAAATCTATTTTTTATACCTATTACCAATAAAATTACTGGTTGCACTATGGAGGGTCTCTGCTTGTGTCTTACTATGACCCTGGGAGGAGCTGGCTGCTAAACTGGTGGACGCTGGAGGAGGAAGATATTTTCTAGAGAGTGATCCATACTGATAGGATCGTGTGATCCTGAAAGCGTGCTGGCCCCTTGGGGTCTAAGGAAGGAGGTGAGGGGGCATTTTGGCTGTTAAGGATTGTCACGTGTGAATCACGTACACTGCACATAATTTTGCATGAAGAGTGGAGTGTTAAGTTCATCATTAAGCACAGCATCATCAGTTTTATTATTATTAACTTTGGACTTTTCTTGTATTTGAACTATCGTTTATTCCTTTTGTGCACTTTTTATGTGGCTCTGTTTATTATTAGTATATATGTTATTATAGTATATATTACTTTATTTTCACGTTTTTGCACGAGATATTCCCCATGAGGGAATACATGCATGACACTGTATATGTATTGAGTATCTTGGATTTATTTTGGGGATTGAGTATATATTGTATTACGGTTCTATTAGATACTAATTAGCGCTGCACTCATAATTTTTGCACAATTTTATTAAGTTCCCTATAGTCAATTCAAGGTCTGAGAGACCGATCCTTCTTTTCTACAAAGAAATACCAGCCCCAGCAGGAGATGAAGAGGGGCGGATGAATCCTTTAGCGAGATTCTCGTCTAGATAGTGCCGGAGGGCTTCCAGTTCAAGTTTGGACAATGGGAAATTTCGCCCAAATGGTATTTCTGCCCCTGGGAGTAACTCAATTGGGCAGTCGTAAGACAGATGAGAAGGCAATGTGTCGGCCTTCTTCTTATCAAATATGTCAATGAAGTTGTGGTAGGTAGAGGGAACTGATTGGCTGGCCTCTGGTGGAGGTTAGACTGAGAGATATACAGAATAATTGGTGAGAGCAGGAGCACCACAGTGTTGTAGACAATATTCTGAAGAAAATATGATTTCCTTCTTGGGCCAATTGATCTGTGGGTTGTGCGCTTGTAACCAGGGTATTCCTAGGATGGCTGGAAACATGGGGGATCTGATCACGTCAAAACAAATAAACTCCTGATGGCCGGAGCAAGAATAGGAAATCTTTTCCTGGGTAACAGGTCCGGAAATCGGAGTAGTGCCATCCGCAAGTAAGACGTCAAGTCTCTGTTTCTTATGCAGAAGAGGGATGTGTAAGTCCTTGACCAATTGGATGTCTAGAAACAGCTTCAAGCTCCCGAGTCAACGACTGCCCGCAACTTGACATCCCTTCCAGCCACCTGCAAAGACATGGGGAGAATGACATGGGTGGTTAAAGTCCCGGATAGCTGAAGGTACGAAGGATGGGGCTGGCTGGACTTACTTGGTCGTACTGGGCAGTTACGCAGGAAGTGGCCTGTGGCCCCACAGTAAAGAAAGAGGTTGCCTTGCTGTCTGTGTAGCCTTTCTTCCGGAGTTAGAGCAGGTCAGAGCTGGCCGATTTGCATAGGTTCTACCTTTGAAGTGTTGATGGGTTGCAGAGCAAGGGCAGGAGCTGTTGGTCCTGGAACTTTTGCCAGAACCCAAGTGGGACGAAAAGTCTGAGTACGCTCCGTGAGTCTTTCCCGTAGACGCCGATCCAACTGAGTAGCTGTCAGGGCTCCCGGTAAGACCAGAGATGCGTGAACTGACACAGGGAAACACAGGCTCAAGTATGGTGTAACAATATAATTTATTAAAGGTTATACACAAATATAAAAGCACAATATTACAAAACCAAACCTCCAACTGATAACGGAATGTACACAGACAAGAGCAGTCAGGGCTGGTGAGGTGGAGTGGTCAGGCGGGCCGGGTCAGGAACCATCAGGCAGACAAGACACAAAGGAGTAGGCAGAGCGAAGTCAGACGGGCCGGGTCAGGAACAATCAGGCAGACAAGGTACCAAAGGAGCAGGCTGGAGAGTGGTCAGGAATAGCCGAGGTCAGGACAGGCGGAGTTCATTCAGAATCAGGATCAAAGCAGAATCAGGAATCAGGCAGGAAGCAGACAGGATGCAGGTACAGGGGCTCATGGGAAACATACACCAAGGCACTGACTGCAGGTCTGGCCATTCCTTAAATACACCTCCTGCAATCAGCCTCAGGTGATGGCTGATTGCAGGAGTAAGCTTCTGGTTGCTGAGAGCACCCGCTGGCCAGCCCTGGTACTGCAGCCCACAAGGCAGGCGAGTCCCACCACCATTGGTGAGTCCATTCCTGACAGTACCCCCGCTCAACGAGCGGCCTCAGGATGCTCCAAACAGTCCTTAGTGGGCAAAATGTTCCACCGCCTGTGTCAGGTAATTGGCTGGATATCAGGGGCTGGCACATCAGGCTGGGCAGTGGACGAAGGAACATCAGGCTGGGCAGCGGCACATCAGGCTGGGCAGCGGCAGAGGCACATCAGGCTGGGCAGCGGGCAGAGGCACATCAGGCTGGGCAGCGGGCAGAGGCACATCAGGCTGGGCAGCGGGCAGAGGCACATCAGGCTGGGCAAAGGCACATCAGGCTGGGCAGCAAGCAGAGGCACATCAGGCTGGGCAGAGGCACATCAGGCTGGGCAGCGGGCAGAGGCACATCAGGCTGGGCAGCGGGCAGAGGCACATCAGGTGGAGCAGCGGGCACCGGGCCATCAGGCGAGGCAGCGGGCACCGGGCCATCAGGCAAGGCAGCGGGCACCGAGTCATCTGGCACGACATCGGGCACCGAGTTATCTGGTAGAACAGCGGGCACCGAGGCACCAGGCCGGACCATGGGCACCGAGGCACCAGGCCGGACCACGGGCACCGAAGCACCAGGCCGGACCGGGTCATAAGGCTGGATTGGGTCATCAGGCTGGATCACGAACACCGGGTCATCAGGCTGGATCGGATCATCAGGCTGGATCGGGTCATCAGGCTGGATCACGAACACTGGGTCATCAGGCTGGATTGGGTCATCAGGCTGGATCGGGCCATCAGGCTGGATCACGATCACCGGGTCATCAGGCTGGATCGGGTCATCAGGCTGGATCACGAACACTGGGTCATCAGGCGGATCGGGTCATCAGGCCGGATCACGAACACCGGGTCATCAGGCTGGATCGGGTCATCAGGCTGGATCGGGTCATCAGGCTGGATCGGGCCATCAGGCTGGATCGGGCCATCAGGCTGGATCGGGCCATCAGGCTGGATCGGGCCATCAGGCTGGATCATGAACCCCCGGGTCATCAGGCTGGATTGGGTCATCAGGCTGGATCGGGTCATCAGGCTGGATCGGGTCATCAGGCTGAATCGGGTCATCAGGCCGGATTGGGTCATCAGGCCGGATCAAGAACACCGGGTCATCAGGCCGGATCGGGTCATCAGGCTGGGTAGCGTACACTGAGTCATCAGGCATCAGGGCATCAGGCTGAACAACGGAAGGCGGGTTCTCAGACAGCAGGCTGACCAGTTTGGATACTGGTAGGATGGTACTGGTTGGAAAGAATTTTCGCTTCTTCTTGGGTTTAGTTACTGGGGCACTGCAAGTAAATGCAGGACTGTAATTGGATGGAGTAGCTGGGGACAGAGAAGAGCTGGAGGGTGGAACAGAGGAGGGAATAGTTGTTACAGCGGCCTTTTTTACAGGGTTAAAGGCAGGATAGGTGCAGTGAGTGGGAGCAGGGTACTGCCATGTGGTTGATAGCAGGGTATATTGGGCTGTAACTGGGGGGTGCTGTTGGGAATGCAGGAATAGAGCTTTGAGCAGAGGAATAATTAGAAGCAAGATGGGTTTGTTGCAAGCTGCCTGAGGCTGGGTGTAACAAGTCTGACCAGGACTGTAGTATTGGTTGAACAAAACTCCGCTTACACATAGCCTGTCTGACCAAAGACTGCACTGCGTTTATACACTCCACTAGCACATGTGGTGAACATTCTGAATAATGTTCCCAGAAGCAATCCGGATCATCCTCCAACAACCATACCAGTGATTCTATTTGATCCACACTGAATGGTGGAAGAAAGTCATCCCTGCTTTCAGGGATACTAGATGAAGCCAACTCAACACAAGCCTGAATCAATGGTTGCACCTCAGAGAACTCTGTGCCCTGATCTACTAGGGAATGAGCGACCCGTATGCATTCTAGCAGCTGATCCCTGGTATACTCCTGCAGAGTCTGATATTCTCTGTCATCTAAGACTAGCAAATACAAATATACCACCTCCTCAGGATGCATCCTTCCCAACAAGTCATGATGGCTTCCCTGTGCAGCCACTTCTGGTCAGGAATGGCCTTGGTGTTCTGTCAGGGCTCCCGGTAAGACCAGAGATGCGTGAACTGACACAGGGAAACACAGGCTCAAGTATGGTGTGACAATATAATTTATTAAAAGGTTATACACAAATATAAATGCACAATATTACAAAACCAAACCTCCAACTGATAATGGAATGTACACAGACAAGAGCAGTCAGGGCTGGTGAGGTTGAGTGGTCAGGCGGGCCGGGTCAGGAACCATCGGGCAGACAAGACACAAAGGAGTAGGCAGAGCGAAGTCAGACGGGCCGGGTCAGGAACAATCAGGCAGACAAGGTACCAAAGGAGCAGGCTGGAGAGTGGTCAGGAATAGCCAAGGTCAGGACAGGCGGAGTTCATTCAGAGTCAGGATCAAAGCAGAATCAGGAATCAGGCAGGAAGCAGGCAGGATGCAGGTACAGGGGCTCATGGGAAACATACACCAAGGCACTGACTGCAGGTCTGGCCATTCCTTAAATACACCTCCTGCAATCAGCCTCAAGTGATGGCTGACTGCAGGAGTGAGCTTCTAATTGCTGAGAGCACCCGCTGGCCAGCCCTGGTACTGCAGCCCACACGGCAGATGAGTCCCACCACTAAAGGTGAGTCCATTCCTGACAGTACCCCCCCCCCCCCCTCAAGGAGCGGCCTCAGGACGCTCCAAACAGTCCTTAGTGGGCAAAATGTTCCACCGCCTGGGTCAGGTAACTAGCTGGATATCAGGGGCTGGCACATCAGGCTGGGCAGCGGACGGAGGCATATCAGGCTGGGCAGCGGGCAGAGGCACATCAGGCTGGGCAGCGGGCAGAGGCACATCAGGCTGGGCAGCGGGCAGAGGCACATCAGGCTGGGCAGCGGGCAGAGGCACATCAGGCTGGGCAGCGTGCATTCTTTAAATACACCTCCTGCAATCAGCCTCAGGTGATAGCTGATTGCAGGAGTGAGCTTCTGGTTGCTGAGGGCACCCGCTGGCCAGCCCTTGTACTGCAGCCCACAAGGCAGGTGAGTCCCACCACCATTGGCGAGTCCATTCCTGACAGTAGCAAGCAGGATAAGGTTCTTCAAGGAGGAGGGAGCTTCCACCCTAGCTAACTCGTCCTTGAGGGACTCGGACAGGCCTAGGCGGAACTGGTAGTTCAATGCTGCATCGTTCTACCAGTGTCTGCAGACCATTTACAGAACTCCACTATGTAGTCCTCCACAGGCCGCCAACCTTGTAGTAGAGCATGGAGGGCAGACTCAGCAGTGGAGGTCCTCTGGGGATCATCATAGAGGGCAGCCATGACTTCAAAGAATTCACTCACTGAATTAAGTGCTGGGCTCTTTTGTTCCAGAAGACCATATGCCCAAGACTGAGGTTCTTCAGACAAGAGGGAGATGATGAACCCGACCTTGATCGCCTCCAGAGAAAAGGTCCTGGGTTGCAGAGCAAAATATAATTCACAAGCATTCTTGAAAGCTCTGAACTTACGATGATCCCCGAGAAAACGTTCATTAGTAGGAACTCTGGGTTCCGGAGATGGTAATACTATAGTAGGACTGGTGGAAGGAGACTGACTGGCAGGTGCGGCTACTGAATTGGAACTGGCGGAGGGATCCTGGTCCGCGGAAGTAGAGAGGGAGTGAAGACGCCCTTCTAACTGGAAGTATCCTTGCTGTAGATCCTTCACTGCCTCTAGTGCGGAAGTGCCTCTCTTGGCCTCGGACATACTGGCTGGATGATACTATCACGTACCTGGTGATGGAGGCCAATGAAGAGAGGGCTTCCCTTGCGGCTAAGTTCCGGACTCCCCTGAGAGAGGGACAGTGGAAGTCAGGCCCAAAGTTGCACAGGTCGCCTGTAGGAGTGCTGGTTGGTGGTCCACTCAGAAGCACAGCTGGTGCACGGAGATAGGTCTGCAGACAGCAGGCGCCTGTGCATGGTATGCAAGCCCTTCCGGGACTTAGATATTTACTGGGTAGTCGGTTCAAGCCAAGGTCAGGTACCAGGTGGGAATCGGAGCAGACGTAGTCAGGTGGGATAGCTGAAGTCATACACAGAGGAGCGAAAGAGAGAGTATCCATAAGCCAAGCTGAGGTCAGATCAGGAGTAAAGCAGAGTAGACAGGTCCAGGAGAAAGCCGAGTCGGTAACAGGAAATCACAGGTCAAAATCACAGGAAACAGGAACAGGGCACGGGGAGCTAGAGATCATCCAGCAACTTGCAGAAGTGATGAGCCTCCTTAATAGGCCTTCTGGCACCAAACGGAGGCTGATGTGTACTTCTGCGGCCATGCAGAGTACTAGCAGAAATGCCATATCTTCCAGAACTTCTGCCATGGACAGGACTCTGACACATAGCAAGGGCTTCAAGATTTAAGGTTGCCCTTAAAATCCATACCAGGGGGGCATGGTCTGGTCCCGGTCTAGAATGGCTGCTTGCTAGAGGAGCTCCTGCTTACAGAGGTCCCTGTGCGAGTCAGAAGCAGAAGAGAACACACGGTGAGATGGGGAAATCAGCAGGGAGTGCTTCCTCTACCTGTTCCCGTTCACCGCGAGATCTGGGCACACAGCTGAGCTGCAATATTCCAGAGTTATTCCGGACCCAGCCAAGAGACACGGCCTCGTGATCACAGGCTGCATCCCGCTCTGCCTGCCCTGCCTGCACGAGCCCGGCGGCGGTCAAGCATGCACAATCTCCCTCCTCGGATCCACATCCTGATAAGCCACTAACTATGCACGACCTTCACACGATTGCTGCCGACATTAAAGACACAATTTTAGCTCCCATCTCAGACCTTCGCTTAGATATACAAGTGGTTGCCACTTGGCTTGAGGATGTAGTGGAATTTGCGGCCCACCATGACACTGCTATACACAGGACACATCAAACTACAGAGTCTCATGCCCTTCATATCCAAGAATTGCAGAGACATCTGGAAGATTTAAATAATAGAGGCCGCAGACATAATTTGAGGGTGAGAGGACTCCCTGAGACGATTGAACCTAAACAATTACCACATGCTGTTTTAGCTGTGTT